AGAGACTTATAGCATTCAATTGATGATTTTGTTTGAGACTGACTTCTTGTGGTAACAAGGAGAGAGAGGAGTTGATGGATAGTGATTTAGGGGAGATAAAGAGATTGGATCTCTTATCTAATAAGCATATTGCTAGGGGTATGTGAATAACTTTGCGTTCGAGTAAGAAATAAATCTCTAACACAACATCAAAATCATCCATCTTGAAAATCACGAAATCGGTTGTCCACTCCAAATCTCCAACTTGATTGGAGTTTTCTTTATAATATTGAAATGGGTAGGACTGCCAAATTGATGACTTTCATTCTTTTTTAATGTCCGAATATGTTAAAGTATTTCTTTTCAATCTCCGTCATTAAGTTGTGGGTGGCTCAAGAGTCGAGCATAGTACTTTTGGCCAAACTATGGTTAATCCATGCTCGCGTATATACGACCATGTTCCATTGACTCTTTCGTCTCTCTTACTTTCTTATGGAGAGAAGATAGATAGACTTTAGAACCTCTATGTTGGGGATTTTCAACATTTTCAATTGGATGTGTTTCAACTTTTGTCGTTTGATATTCAACTTTGAATCTGTTTCAAATTTGAGTTGGAAAGCTTGGAGGGTTGCTCTTTGTGGACATTCCATTACTCGAGCCCCTAACAATAATTATTCTAGTTATATGGTTTTTGCGATGGATTTCTACTTTTCTATTGGGAGGGTTCATTGTCCGCTCTTCCCGTTTCAACTAGATGTATTGTTACCAATGTCACTTTCACTTCCTCTACCCGATATTGTCATTGAAAAATACTTTTCATGGTCAAAGATAAGATTCTCTAGAGCCTTGAAATCTTGAACCTCACAGAATGACTTAGGTTTTTGGAAGACATTGTTAAACTAAACTGCTTTCTCAGCTGTAGTTATGATCCCCATCGTTCTCATAACGAGGTTTAGTCTGATGCTCAAATTTGTCACTTCAACCTTTATCATTGCTGTAACGACCCAGATCCACCACTAGCAGATATTGTCCTCTTTGGGTTGATCATCGTTTTCGTGATGAGGTTTAGTCTGGTGCTCAAATTTGTCACTTCAACCTTTATCATTGCTGTAACGACCCAGATCCACCACTAGCAGATATTGTCCTTTTTGGGCTGATCATCGTTCTCGTGATGAGGTTTAATCTGGTGCTCAAATTTGTCACTTCAACCTTTATCATGGCTGTAACGACCCAGATCCACCACTAGCAGATATTGTCCTCTTTGGGCTTTCCCTTTCGGGCTCGCCCTCAAGGCTTTAAAACGTGTCTGCTAGGGGAAGATTTCTAGACCCTTATAAATGGTGTTTTGTTCTCCTCCCCAACCAATGTTGAACATCACAATCCACCCCCCTTCGAGGCCCAGCGTCCTCGCTGGCACTCTTTCCTTCCTCCAATCAATGTTGGACCACCCCCTAATCCACCCTTCTTCGGGGCCCAGCGTCCTTACTGGCACACCGCCTTGTGTCTACCCCCCTTCGGGGAACAGCGAGAAAGCTGGCACAGCGTCCGGTGTCTGGCTCTAGTACCATTGTAACGACCTAGATCCACCACTAGCAGATATTGTCCTCTTTGGGCTTTTCCTTTTCGGGCTCGCCCTCAAAGCTTTAAAACGCGTCTGCTAGGAGAAGGTTTCCACATCCTTATAAATTGTGTTTTGTTCTCCTCCCCAACCAATGTGGAACATCACAATTGCAACCCTTACATCTTTAGAAAGATTTGAAACTATCTAAGCTATCACTTTCGACATACTTCTCCATGTGAGCCACAAAGCCCATCAAGCTACCCCCATGCTCGAAACTACTAGTTCGTGCGACTTTATCTTATGAGATCGCATCAATTTTTGGATGGACATCTCGTCTCGATGATCATCAGTGGTCATCTATTGCATCAACCTTGTTGGTTTTGATAGCAATCTCATTTAGGTGAGATTCAAAAGATCCAAGAATATTAAGAACTTCTTGTAGGTATTTATGTTTAATTATACCTTTAAAAAATATTTATGTTCAATCATAACTTATATTTATATTTAATTACATAACTTTAGAGAGTAAATATTATGCATGCTAACTACAACTTTTTCTACCACGTAAGACCCACCCTCTTTCCCTTCAAGTATTTTCAACAATTTTATTACATTATTTAATTTTAGAATATAATTTTTAAATTATATTCGATTTGATTAACTTTAAGATCACGTCCCTCATTACAAGCTCGTAATGAGGGACGTGATCTTACTCGTGAGGGTAATAAAATTATCCGTGAGGCTAGTAAATGGAGTCCTAAACTAGTTGTTGCTTGTGAAGTATGGAAGGCGATCAAATTCGAATTTGAGACCGTAGATACTTTCTTCATTCTTTTAATTGACTTTCAATTAAACAAAACTCGGCCCAATCTTTTATTAAAAGAATTGAGCCAAATACAATACAAAGATACTATTGTATATCTTTTTGCTAGATATACAAAATTCAAAATTGAAATAAAAATCTAAGACGAAACAACGTAAACATTTTTGTTGTTGTGCCGGATCCGCAATTAAGCCTATAGATCCTTAGAATTGGTGTAGTCATTTAATATATTATATCCCGTAGCGTCGTTTTAGATCATGGATCGAGCCAAGTATCACAACTTCTTCTACCCATCCTATATATTGTCCTTTTTGTTCTGTCTTAGAGTACAAATTTTTTAGTAAGCGAGATTTTACGAAAAAAATTCATAGGGAGAACAACGATTTTTTTTTATGTGAATTTGATATAACAGGTGAAAAATCGATATTTTTCAATTAAATCAATTAAATTAATAATTTAATTGATTTAATTGAAAAAAAAAATTCTCTTTTGCCACAACCCCAAGTACTATATTATATACAACGGAACCCTCCCATTTTGAAGGGAGGAGTATTTTCAACCATTTTATTACAATATTTAATTTTAGAATATAATTTTAGATAATTAATATGTAATTTTTTTGTTAAAATTACGTATATTTAAAATTTTATTATAATGAAATAATTAACCATAATGATTTGGTAAAATAAGATCAATTAATTAATTGAATTTATTCCAAATAAAGTAAGTTAAGATAAAGGATGTTATTTCTAACAATTTTCTTATATTAGTTAATTTTAGTTTAGATAATTTATTTCATTTATTAATAATTATATTATAAATAATAATCAAAATAAAAAATAAATAAAGAAAATGGAGATAAATAAATAATTTGAAAATGAAATAATACAGATATATTTTACATGGATATGGATTTGAAAAAGGGTAAAAAGCCACATTTTATGGGTCGTAAAAGATTTTTAAAAATTTTAATTTGAAATTTGTAATAATATTTCGTGTATATATATATATATATATATATATATATATAATTCAGAACAAGAAATCATATAATTTCATTAATTTTATAATTTCTTAGCGCGAAAAAAAAAATGAAATCTGTGCCGAAGCATAGTTTGTCAGTGAGAGCGAGTTCTTTGAAATCGAAGACGAAGAAGACAAGTCTTTCTTTGCCACCAACGTCGATGACCAAAGCCAAAACTCTGGCTCCGAAGACTATCGTACCACGGCCGACTCCGTCGTCATCGGGAGAAGATAATCGAGAAACAATCTTGAAGAAGAGGTTCGCGGGAACGATCTCGAAAGCACAGCGACAACTTTCGAAAAATGTGAAGAAAGTTAGGAGTGAAAAGGGAAGAGAAGCGGACGGGAAAGGTTTGGAGGCAGTGGACGATAGGCGTGTTGTGCCACCGTTGGCTCCGTCGTTAGAAGATAATGAAATAACAATGTTGAAAGATAGAAGGGAAGAGATGAGAGCAGCGGCGAGAAGAAGTTTGGAGGAGGTGGAGCGGAGGGTGGTGGTGGATGATAGCCATGCATCGTTGAGGGAGTATGAGCGTCTATGTGGTTTTCCCATTCCCTACGTTGGTGGGTTTCTAAATAGGATGCATTATTATGGTTTATATTTGAAGGATTAGTCGTATGCTACTCGATCTACATTAATAATATTTGTTTGTTGGTACGGGGTAGATGATGAGGGTGCTAAAATGGTGTCGACATAGTTGAGACGGTTGGGTGCATCTACTGATTCCTCATCACCAATAATATTGTCTTTCTTCTATTTCTGTTCAATTAAGGGTATTCATATGATTCGAGAATCTCATCAACTCGGTCTACTCAATTCAAACCATAAAAGTTGGGTTGGGTTAGATTGTTTTCGGTTTAGGTTCGAATAATTTTTGAGAAATTAAAAAAATCAGAGTCTATTTGCAAGTTACAATCGAACCAATCAATCTAAAAAATAGAGTTATAATCCAACCCACTTTTATTTTATTTTTAAGACTATTACGAGGATTAAAAATATCTGATGTTTATAACGAAGGTTCGTAATACAGTGTGAATATATTTGATATTTGAGTTTTATGAAATTTTATTTATTGAAATAATATGCAATAAATAAAAAATTTAAATAATTAAAAAAAAAAATACTACACAATCAGACCTAAAAATAGAGGATCTAAAATACTTTTTTAACCGACTCTAACAGAAAAGTTTCATTTTTTTATCGATAATTTATTACAAAATAGTCTCAACTGTAACTTTAAAAGAATGTTTAGTTTCTCTGTCCAACTGATCTTAGATCTAGGTGAGTTGAACTAACTACACAGAAGAAGAAAAGATATGTTCACTAACGATGGCTCAATTGAACATTACTTTGGTTGGCTAAAGATCGTAATTAAAATGTTGAAACTACTACTACATTGGGTTAAAATATGCAATATCTATTACACGTTGAAGACCAAAAATTGAAACTATTGACCATTTCGATTTATCCTATTTTGCCATGTAGAAAAGTTCGACTTTGCAAATTTATCGACTACCATTGATGATCGGTTGAGGACAAGTCTATTCTAGATTCAGACCGACGCACAAGAACAACATCACTATCACTACTTGTGGAGTAATGCCTAGCTAGCTTCACGACCCCATTGATATGGCAAATGGAATTTCACTCTCACGAGACATTATCGAGTTGTTGGACGACAAATTGCTTCGCCTTTGATCGTCATTGTTGCCATCCTCCTCTGCTTGAGCCCTTGCATCGCATCGAGGGGATTCACCAGACGAATTATTATTGTTGTTGTTGTCGTCGTCGTTCGTATCATTTGCGCTCGTGGCCATGGCAAGGGAGACTCGAAAACCACATGCACGCGAGATGACTCTATAGAAGAAGGTCAAGATCCAAAAGAACCAAGGGAGACAAACCAACGACAAGCCAGCGACTGGTAGCCATGCGGTGGATTCGGTCTCCGGTAGGATTATGTACACCAAAAGGCAAGCTCCGCCGCTGAGAATGCAGAGGAAGAGAGAGAAAAAGACGAACCATACGAATGCACGTCCAGCTGAGGGATCGACCAAAGACATTAATTTTAACGGTTTAGATCTCGACGGATGAAAAGATGGATGAAAGCTTCAAGAACAGGGTATTATTCCTATGATCATCTTCCATGTTCTTCATTGACAAACTTTGTGAATCAGAAACTCATCGGAGAATTGCATGGAAATGGGTTGGGGACAGTTTTGTGATCGTCAAAAAAACAAGAAATTTTTTTTTGTAAAGTTTGTCTAATTTACAAAAATTTTGGTCGTTTTTTTTTTTTTTTTTTTTTTTTTTTTTCCGCCTGTGTTTCTCTGATTTGGAGCTTTGATTTCTAATGCGGCGGCAACGGTTTAGACTCCGGACCGGATGTTTACATCGTCCTAAAACGGCGTCGTATGGAGGTCCGTCACATACCTTTTCGACGTGTTGCTCCTGTGGAGGTGAACTTTCTCTTATTGTCTTATCTGCACCTTGACGACAAGTCGTTCAATTATTCTTTCCATAGAGATTCAAAAAAGAATTCTTTTTTCCTCATTATTTCTTTATTATAAATTTTCATCTTTCAAAATATTTAAATTTTAAGCAAAATTTCATAAAAAAATAAATGTTTCAAAACTACATTTAATTTTTTAAATCTTAACTTAAATTTTAAAAACATTTATAAAATATAACAAACAAAAATACTCTGCTTAATTTTAAAATATATATATATATATATATATATATCGAACAAAATAAGTCATTTAGGGTGTATATCGATTACGTGTGCTTTATCACTTTTACATCAAATAAAAAGAAATGTATTAATATTACGTGTAGATCTTAGACTTTTAAAAAATATCTAATAAGTCTCTAAACTTTTAAATTTATGTCTATTTGATCCCTAAACTTAAAAAAAAAAAAAAAAAAAA